GCGCCCGCCGGTGGCTCGCCGCGGCGTCGTGTGGCTCGGATGGAAGATCATCATCGCTATCTCCGCTGCGCTCTGCCTCCTCGCCCTCTTCAGTCTTCACCGTCAGTACGGTCTCGGTGTTGCGGCGCCGTCGGATTCGCTCTCCGCCTCGAGATCTCGTGTTTCGGTCCGCGAATACTCCGGCAACCGTCCGAAAATTGCGTTCCTTTTCCTCGCTCGCCGTGATCTTCCACTTGATTTTCTATGGGATAGCTTCTTCCAGGTCAAATTCGTAGACGACGTCTTTGATCACTTTTGTTTGTTACTGTGGTCGTTTACTTATTTGGGAAATGCCTGTTTCTGGTGAAATTTGCAGGGAGCCGATCGGGGGAATTTCTCCATTTATATACATTCGGTGCCCGATTTTGTGTTCAATGAGGACACCACGAGATCAAAGTTGTTCTACAATCGGCAATTGAAGAAGAGCATCAAGGTGATGCCAAATATCACCCTTTTTTGTGTTTTAGTTCCAGGAATATGTTTGGAGAATGTGAAAGGAAAAAAAAAAATCTATTTCATTGTGGATATTTCACAATGGATATGTTAATCATAGTATAAAAGCGAAATAGATTAAATGGAGACAAGTTACGGAGATCTTTGTGATCGCAAGGTTTCCATTCTGTTAAAATGAAAATTCTATCGAACCGTCATTAGATATATATTGATGTATGATCACGAATGCTGGGTGAAGAAAGAATAACATGTGTCCAAAATGAATGTGGTTGAGACGAAATAATAGGATGGATGTGCGGACACAGAAAAACGAATAGAAATTTGCAATGGGAATATTAGAAAGAAAATGAGGTAGTATATGTAGAAAAGAAATTACAAGAATGACGTTTAAGATGGTTTGACCATGTAAAATATAGTGCGATAAGGGTAGAGCTATACTCACTTGGGGTCGAGTGGTTAGTCAAGATTTGCAGTGTTTACAAATTTTGGGATGATTTGAAACCGAAGTTTCTCATTTGCAGGTAGTATGGGGAGAGTCAAGCATGATTGCTGCTGAGAGATTGTTGCTCGCAGCTGCCTTAGAGGACCTCTCAAATCAAAGATTCGTACTTGTGTCTGATAGGTCCGGTTCTTTGAGCTCTATATATTAGATGCTTTGTTTGCTGATATTCCTGGCAACTTTTTTTTTTCTCCTCTAGGTAGAAAAAATCTCCTCTTTTGCCTTTTGTTGGGGTTGGTATGATCTTTGTTCAGTTTCAACTGTAAATTCTTTGGTCCGTAACGTCCACTACCATTGTTTGTTCCAAAGCATGACTGATTGCTAAGTTATAGTTGTATCTTGCCTCTCTTCAAGCTGTATGCGTATGAATGCATAAATACAAAGCGTACGTACATACATATGCATGTGCGAGCTCATTGTCACGTACTGAGCACGCTTGTAAAAGGCCCTATGATGTGTGACTATGCCTTATTAATACAGATTCTGTTTGTTATAGTGATTATGGAACTCATTCTTCCATTTCTTTTTTTGTTTTTCCCCTTATGTTGCAGCTGTGCCCCATTATATGACTTTGGCTACACTTACAGATACCTAATGTCTTCGCCGAAAAGTTTTGTGGACAGGTACATTGTAAGCTTTGGACGACCAAACAAGCTTTGCCAGTTAGTTGATTTATTAGAGAAGGAACTATATAGATGTTGATTACGAGTTGTTTCCTGTCTGCAGCTTCGTTGATGCCAAAGAAAAACGCTACAGCTTGAAAATGTCTCCTGTTATACCTAAGGAGAAATGGCGAAAAGGGTCCCAGGTATCTTTTAGTTACATTTGTTTCGACAAGTTCATTCTTCTGCAAGATTATGGAAGACTTGACTTCTGAAGGAAAACAAGCATTGGATTGTGTAGAGAGTGAGGGGGACTTCTGTGGCTGCTTGTTGTTTCATTTCATCTCATCCTACTTTCTATTTGTTGTATTTGCAGTGGATCTCTTTGATCAGAAGCCACGCAGAGGTCATTGTAAATGATGATACCGTGTTTCCAGTTTTCGAGAAATTTTGCAAGGTAGTAATAATGGTCAAAACTTTCGTGTGTTTATCATTTTTCTGCTCGGTTTCTTTCATAAGTGGCACCTTTGCCATTTAATTGTCAACCTGAACTTTATCTGATGTTTTCTTCTGTGACGGTATGCTCATAGTTTCCTTTTTTATTTGCAGCGAGCTCCACCTCTAGATGCCCGAAGCAAATGGCTGCATGTAAGTGATGCTTCAATGTTCTATTGTTCATTTATTTCTGTGGCAAAATTTTTGGTCTATGAATATCAGTGCTGGTCCCAAATTCCAATTCACTTTGATGGTATGAGAATGGATAGGATGAAAGCTAAAAGAGCCGATAAATCCATTCTAAACTTGTTAGCTCATCGCCAACATTTTACACCGATGTGAATACAGAAAATTCATCAACTTCCGAAGCGGCACAATTGCATCCCGGATGAACATTATGTGCAGACACTGCTCACTGTAATCTTCTCTTTCTCCTCTGGTTTTTCTGGCCCTTTTGATGATTTGAGATCCCCATCCTCTTCCTCTAATTTCTATAGAAACTTATATTTTCAGATGCGAGGACTGGAAAACGAAATCGAAAGGAGGACATTGACTTACACAGTATGGAACCTATCCGCTGCAAAAGCTGAAACCAAATCTTGGCATCCCATCACTTTCACATCGGAGAACGCCGGTCCAAAGCAAATCAACGAAATAAAGGTGTGTCCTTTTCCTTTTTCTCCTCAAACCCGATCTCCCATCTTTTTCATATGCGCCCATGACGAACCAAGCTGAGAAATTTTCGTTTCCGGGCAGAGAATCAACCATGTATATTACGAATCTGAGTACCGAACTGAATGGTGCCGGGCAGATACAAAGCCTGTCCCGTGCTTTCTCTTCGCGAGGAAGTTCACCAGAGGAGCCGCAATGCGTCTTCTGAGCGAAGGATTGGTAGGATCATTGCCGGAGACAACCTTATAACAGAACGGAAGTTAGTTCATTCATTCAAGCACTTGGTAATAAAAGGGATCAACGAAAGACAAGACAGGGACAGAGAGTGACTCTTATAAAAGGTTTAACTTACTACCCACAGTATATCATACATGATAGAATCCAGTAAAGATTAAAATACTCCATGGAGATGAGGTTTAGTAACGTTAGCATACACATATACACAACAAATTCAATGTATTTTGAAATCTTCATCATAGTTGATCGTATATGGGTTTTTATGGTGCTTGTTTTTTATTTTTATTTTATTTTAAATACACAAAAAATTTGTGTAAGATAGAATTCTAACACTAAATATATATTAAGATTACACTTGTGGATAATGTTTTCGAATGAACGCAATGACCAATGACCATTGTGTATGACTCTCGGAGGATCTATAAGCAAAAATGAAAGTTGATCCTTAAGAAGTTGGTCAGCTTCTAAACGTCGCGTACTTTTTGTACTCTTTTTCTGTAATGGGAAAAAAAGGAGAGAGATTTCCGCTGCCGGGATTCGAACCCGGAATTTCACCATTGAAATTTAACCAGTGTGCTACAGTGGATTGCTTGCTACATTTGACCTAAATTATTATTATTCTCTTTTTCTTTAGTCCTGCCTCCGAATTCAGATATCCATGGCTAATTATTCAATCCGAAAACATTAACTTGAATTTGAACCCGAATTTTGAATATTAGACATCAAAACTTGATCACTATCTAACTGAAAGATAGGTATCCGATTTTAGATTTTCAACCTTCAAATCGGGATGATTATCCGATTTTTGAGTATTTTTATCTACTTTAATGCGAACGATACAGATTGATTACAAATTTCGTACTTCAAAACTACAGATTGATTACAAATTTCGTACTTCAAAACTCGAGATTTCGTATCTCAAAACTCATGAGAAAAACAATTCAAAATCAGATATATGCGACTCGCTTCCGATCCTACACGATCAGTGCATTTTTGAATATTTTTTTATCATTTTTATAAAAATATTTCTATCATAACAATGATACACTTAATTTTCGTTAATATGTTCTTATTGTCTTATAAGTTAGAATTCGAATGACATAAAATTATCAAGTTATTATATCTTTCTAGTAGTTAAAAGTCTTTGTTCTTTTCCACAGGTAAGATACCGTTTTGGTATCGAAGATCATGAATCAAAAATTTTAGTTTTTTTTTCTCATTATTAATCATCAAGAGTCAACCCGAGTTTCTAAATCTCTAACATGAAAAAGTGCTCTTGTAACAGCTTTTAGCTAAGTTTGGAAAATTATTGCATGACAAGTTTGAACAATGAGTCATGTTCACTATACATCGAAATATATACATACATATATATATATATATATATATATATATATATATATATATATTGGATCGTCGTTGATGCATGCATTTTTTCATGTTTCCACATTGCTATGCCTAATTTTGAAAATTTTATTTTATATTTCTTTGCCTTGATGACCCAAAACTTTGGTTTTTTCTTCACGAGCCTAACTCGTTTTAGCTTCAAATCTCGTGAACCCCTTTGACTTTTGACCAACCCACTAAAAGTGTTAAAATTCAGAAAATTTTCTTATGCAGCCTAATTAAGGAGTTTACGCTTATCCCTTTTGACTTTCTCTATCGATTTCCCACGTATAAATACCCCTTCTTGCTCCTTCATTTCTCTTCATCCAAAACAAAAATATACAAACATACATTAGATTCGAAGATATCGTACCAATCCTCCATTCTTCAAGATTCTCTCTTTTGATTCACACCAAAAGAGAAAAAAGAATGAAGACCTTCACCATATCTCACTCCTTAGTTGTGTTAATAATGGCGTTTGCCATTGCTACGGCAACACTGAGCCAAAATTTACCATTTGACGAGGCCAATACGGACACGACCACCGGCCAAGAAGTGCCCGTTTCGTCGAGCCATGCGGGTCGATTTCTCTCGAGCAGAAACGACAAGTATCGGGTGGTGGGTGCGATGATGACATGCGACAGGTATCCGAAAGTATGTCGGCTAAAGGGCAGCCCAGGACGAGAATGCTGCCGGAAGAGATGCGTAGATGTACGGAGCGACAGATCCAACTGCGGGAAGTGTGGGAAGAAGTGTGGGTATTCGGAGATTTGTTGCAAGGGAAAGTGTGTGAACCCAATGTTCGATAAGAAACACTGTGGGGTTTGCTTCAACAAGTGCAAGAAAAGAAGCTCTTGCTCTTATGGGATGTGCAGCTATGCCTAATTTTTTTTTTTTTTAAAAGCACAATCTGGTATGCAAAAAGATTTATATTGTCATAATCTTTATTGGTTTGATTAATTGATTCATAATTATGTAACACTATCATTGTTTTACATTAGTTATTATGATTCATGTAATATGTCATGTAATAAGGGAACCTGTAGTAGTAGTCATGAAATTGTAGGGTTCTGTCGGACTATATATATAATTTGAATGTTTGATTTTTATTTGAATTTTAGTACCCTTTTTATGCTTATTGCTCTTGAATAGAGTTCTCCACAATATAGATATTCGAATATTATCGGCAGATAATAATACCTAAAATATTTTTTATTTGGATTTAATGCCCTTGTTATGGTTATTATTGCTCGTGAAATTGTGAATATAATGCTAAAAGTACCTAAAATAATTTCACAATGCATCAAAAGTATGAAATACAAAATAGTCAAATCGGAGACAAAATATTTAATGTAAAATATTAAAAATATATAAAATTTCTCTTTTGTGATATTTTATAAATAAAATATTTAAATATAAATTATAAAAAAAATGAGAAATAAAAAAGTAAACTAAGAAAAATAAAATGGATATAGCATACAAATACCTAATTTTAAAAAAAAAACTCAAATAAATACTTGAATTATAAAACTTCGATATGTTTCCTATGAACTTTTAAAAAATTCTAAATAAATACTTAGGTTTTTTCACAATAAATACTTAGGGTTTTGAAAATTTTCTAAATAAATCCAAAATTCAAATATTTTTTAAATAAAAATAGTCAACGTTGTTAAAGGAGTTTGAGTTTTTCTGGAAAATTTTCAAAAATCTAAATATTTATATAGGATTTTTAAAAAACAAAAATATTTATAAGAAAATTTTATAATTTAGATATTTATTTAAAATTTTTGTAATAAAAATCTAAGATAATATTCTCTGATATAATACAATATAAGATCTGAGATATTTGTTATTATTATTAGTTCCAGAGTTGTTTTTGACTAAACTGTACTTACACAAAATGTTTGCATAGCTCAATTAATAAAAACTTAAAATTAATTGTAATTATCATAAAATCATGATTATAAGTTGAACACATGATCTAATAGGGAAAATGATCTTCGTATTAAGTCTTAACAAACACATGGCAAATTGGCCTCGTTTTTTTTTCTCCAAATTTATAATTTCATAATATTTTCAAGAGATAATATCCAAAGAAAAAATTTATAATTTCATAATATATTTCAAAGGATAATATCCAACATTAACGAACATTTAAAAATCTAGATAAACTAATACATATTATACAAAGAAGATCACAACACAAGAAAGAAAGAAAAAAAAAACATTACAAAACACTCAAAAGATAGAAAAAGAAACATGAAGTCAGCCGTGTAGTTGATCATCCTCTCTTGCCTCCTCTTCTCCATGGCTCTTAACCATGCCCAAGGTAACATATCTTAATTATCAAATCCATTGAATTTATTTATTTATTTTTAACAACCCATTTTCCCAATTTACCCGTCGCAAAATCTATTATCTGATCGAGTTCATAAGTATAATCATTTTTTCAAAATTCTTATGTTATAGAGAAAAACGTGCTATCACTCAAAAACATTGTTTCTTATCATCATAGTTTTTAACTATATATATATTGGAAAACATGAAGAGTTTCATTTTATATAGAGTTTATATATTAGTGTGTTTAATATTTAGAGTGGATTTATATCATTATAATATTAATTAGGCATGGTAAAAAACTATATTGTATATTGAAACTCATTCGATAATCAATAATAGAACAACACTTTATTTCACAAATTTTAACAATATATATATCATAGCCATGTAAACGTAATCGATTGTTGAAATAGCCATAATAATTCGATATTCCTTTATCCGTTTCATACATTTCATCGGAATCATTTGGTCATATTTGAATGTATTCTTGATATATATATATATAGGCGAAAATTATAGCGATTTATTTGGTAAGATATATGAATGCTTAACAAACGATGTGAGAAATCCAATTTCTTCAACACATAGGGTTGACTTTAAACCCCAGCAGAAAAATAAAGAAAACAAAAATTTAAATATCATTTTCTTTATTGTAGAATCTTTAAAATATTTATTATTAGTTTACTAAAACAATTATATATCTAAGTTAATTTTATATAGCTATGCATATCGATAATTTAATGTAATAGTGGTACGGTTCCCATGTTCTTCATTTCCAACTCAAAATGCAATGTACTTTGTACGGATTACGCTAATCATAAAATAAAGGCTAATTTTATTATTTTTTCCAAAAAAATACACGATTATATTAACTCTACGATTAGCGTAAATGTATCTATCTACAAAGAGACGACAATAACACCTAAAATGCTTTTAAAAAAAATTATTTCACATCCAAAATTATTTTATCTGCGCCAAAAATATTAAATAACATTATTTTTTTTATAATTTTGTATATTCTTTTAGAATGTAATTAAGATCAATCGGGCAAAAAAACAGTGATTAAGTGCGATAAATTAGTAAAAACTAATTAATATCCAAAAGTCAAGCCAACGACCAGCCTAAATTAAGCTTGTGCAACCACGTCTATGACAAATAAAAAACATTATAATAGTTATTCCCATGTCAATATCTAACCATATTATAAGATTTTTTTTATGTCAACGCAGATCATTGCGTCCCACTCATCTCTTCGATTACACAAACTCACGTACATACAAACACAAAGGCAAATGCTCTCACACACATATATATACCTATATATATGGTAGATGAGCTTTGTGTGTGGGGTCAAGATATGCATACATAATACATACATATATATATATATATATATATAGATCGATCTTCATACATTTCATTGTGGTCAAAACAACTCTCCAAACCATTCTTCAAGGCAATGGCTTCTCCTCAACCTCTACTCTTGATTACTTCATTTCTCTTTGCTATATTTTCTTCTTCACTTGTAGAAGCTGCTTATAGCTATGGTTACACTACCCCTCAAAAGCTATTGAATCCTATCGATTCTTGCTGGCGAAGAAACCCTAATTGGGCGGCAAACCGTCGAGCCCTTGCCAATTGTGCCGTCGGGTTTGGAAAAGCCGCAGTCGGAGGCAAGTACGGGTCAATATACATTGTCACAAACCCGTCGGATGATGCAGAAAACCCTAAACCCGGAACTCTAAGATACGGAGTGATCCAGGACAAACCCCTGTGGATCGTATTCGCACGCGATATGGTCATTGTATTGAAGAACGAGCTCATCATGAATAGCTACAAGACCATAGACGGGAGAGGGGCAAAAGTGGAAATAGCATACGGTCCATGCATCACGATACAGCATGTTAGCCACATCATTATTCATGGGATTAGCATCCATGATTGTAAACGGGGTTCGTCGGGCCGGGTTAGGAGCAGCCCGAGCCACGTGGGCCGCAGGCAAGGATCTGACGGTGACGCCATTGTCGTGTTCGACTCTACAAATGTTTGGATCGACCATTGCTACTTGGCACGATGCCAAGATGGTCTGATCGATGTGATCCATGCTTCCACAGCGATTACTATATCCAATAATTACTTCACTCAACACGATAAAGTAAGTAAGCTTTGCTCGTTAATTTGTATATAATTATTATATATCCAACATAAATCTTCTTGATTCTGCGAATTAATTATTCATATATGAAAACTATATATATATATATATGTTATGTATTGTATTTCAGGTAATGATGTTGGGGCACGAGGATGGTTACACGGAAGATAAAGTTATGAGAGTTACAATAGCGTTCAACTATTTTGCTCCAGGACTGATCGAGAGAATGCCAAGGTACGTACGTACTTCCAAATAGATAACCATGAACAATATATATATATATATATATATATATATATATATATGTATATATATATATATATGTATATATATATATATATATAATAGATGGTGGTTGCCTGTGGCAGAGTAAGGAGAGGATATGCGCATGTAGCAAACAACAGATACGACAAATGGAAAATGTACGCAATCGGAGGAAGTGCAAATCCCACAATTTTCAGCGAAGGAAACTATTTCGTAGCTTATAGCAAAAAACAGGTAACGTATATATATATATATGTGTGTGTGTGTGTGTGTATATATGAATAATAGATAAGAATACTATTGTAACTACGTATATATGGGTTTAACCTAAGGTTTACTATGCATTAATCTTATATACATGCATACTTACAATGGTATGTGCATGTATAGGTGACGAAGAGACTGGATGGGGGCTACGGATCACAGAGTTGGAAATGGAGGACATCAAAGGATGTGTTCAAGAACGGAGCGTATTTCGTACAGTCGGGTTACGGAAGCATTTCGCCCTTGTATTCGAGAGAAGAGTGGTTTCCGGTGGCTCATGGCTCTCTCGCCCCTTTCCTCACCTCCTCCTCCGGTCCCCTCCGCTGCTCCTCCGGCAGACCCTGCTACTGATCCATCTCTCTCTCTCTCTATATATATATATATATATATTCATGTGTGTTGTGTGTACGTACATATTTTTTACAAAGCTAGACGTTTTGTTTGTTTGTACAACAATACGGATCTATGTTTTGAGAGATCCATGGTTTTTTTTGTGGTTTTTTTTTTTTTTTTTTTGCTTTTGGGTTTTCTGTACATGCATTCGGGCTTTTGTAATGATGAGGCTTGTAATGTGAGATTAGATTTCCGGTTGCTGGAATATTTTCAATCATTGTAAGGGCATGTGTTGTGTGTTATCTATTATTAAGTCAATTATGTGACATATCGGACACATAAGTATAAATACTAATGTGGAAATACTATAGTGTAATTTCCAATTTGTAATGAACATATTTATAAATTGAGGCCATATGTTCATATATATTATGGTTATCAAATCAAATGATCCGCCTGTATAAATTTGCAGATGTTTTTTTTTATTAATAATCAAATATTATATTAATGACCAAAATGGAAAATCAAATTATTGTACTTTTGGTACATAAAAGTCTCAAAATAAATAAATAAATTTAAGATAACATCAAATATTAATAAATATCTTTAAATATCTATAATTTTTTCATATTTGATAAAATTTTCACGACGATATATTTCGTAATATTCTAATTAAAACCTAATTCTCTAATTAAAACTATTGTTGACACCATGTAGATTAGAAGGTCAAAACTCATCCATTCCAATCCCCAATAATTTTAGGTTAAAATTTCGAACACCGTTTTCTCAATGATATTGTATGATATTAGTAGTATGTATGATGATCAACAATGACATACAAATTAATGAAAGACAACACCATAAAATAAAAAAACTTGCATTATACAAAACTCAAAGATCGAAATCCAAGAAATCCGACAAAACTTTAAAAGCCAGAGAGAGAAAATAAAGTTATAAAAAGAAACAAAAAGAATATAAACCTCTTCTTTGCATAATTGTCATTAGAATATTAGGGCTTTAATTTATTTAAAAAAGCCTGTTCTCGTTGCTCTGAACTCCACAAGTAACCGGCGCTTTGGCTCTCACTTTCTTCACGTACCAAAACATTCCTCCGCCGATGCCAATCACTCCGGCAGCCGACACCGCCGTCACTGTTCCTGATTTTTTTTTTAAAAAAAAAAATCAAACGTGTCGGAAAATGGAACAAATAATCATGTTATCTGCAATTCTTGCTCAGTACCTGCTATTGCTCCTACGTTCTTGTGCTTCAAGAGGCTAGGATCTGGAAAACAAAATTCAAAGGATCATAACATTTGTCGGAAATTTTCGAGGATAAGTGTGGAGTGGTCACGGTTTATAACTATTAAACTTGACCTAAAACAAGAAAAATTGCATTCTTTTTCTTACGTTATTTTCGGCTATTTTACCTTTACAGTAAGTAGTGGTTTACCTTTACAGTAAGTAGTGACGTTGCCTTGCTTACAAAGGCACAAGAAACTCTGTGTTGTTGTGTCAAACCCGCAAACGCCACTGCCTTTGGTGGTTTCTTGACAAAGAAGGCACCTCGTAGTCACCGGAATCTCGAAATCAACCCTGATTCCGTACTCGGGAACCTGATCGTAAGCAGCATTGCTCGCTCCGACACTCCTCCAGTACACGCTTGTATACGTGGCACAGTATCTAAGCATCAACCTAAGAGACTCGCTCGATGTCGGGTAATAAGAACAGCAAGAAACCCTAGAGCTCAACAGGGATCCGCACTCAGGCAAATGGCGACAGAGATAGCTGGAACTGTCGCAGGAAGAGTCGCATCTGCTCGGAAACCTCTCGCAAAACAGCGGTTTCGGCTCGACGATAACTCTGTCTTGACTGCAGTTGAAGAAGAGGTAATCATTCTGAGAAGACAGTGTGAAGTGAGTGCTTGAATCGACACTGAAAGATCTGGTGGGTCGAAAATTCTCTCTGTCGTCGCAACTCCACATGAAAGGGTCTGAGACAAGGATGTGAGGATCAGAGTAGCTTATGGATTTAACTGGGTATCTTCCAGATGGAGTTCTCAGTTCGAGTTTGGCGTTGTCGGAACAAACCAGCATGTGTCTGTAATAAGGGCTTCCACAACCGTCGTCGATCCCAAATGGGTAGTTTATGGGAATATTTCCACAAGAGTTTCTACAGAGGCTTGATTGGGATCTTGTCCGTTTAGGTGATTGAAGAAGGATAATGAATATGGTTTTGAGGATTATCAGAGGAGAAGAAGAAGATGATGAAGAGTGAAGTGGAGGAGCCATTTTGGGTTTTTTTTTTTTTTTTGGGTGAAAATTTTGGTTTATTTGATTTGGAGGGTTTTTTTTTTATGATTTCTAGTAACAATATGGTTTGAGAATAATTTTTATTTTTTGTTGGATCTGGATGTAAAGATGTGAAGAGTAAGTTTGGGATATCTTGTTGAGGGGTTTAAGAATCATAGTTTATTATTAAAAGCCTTTTTAGATCTCTTATAACCTAAGGTTTCTTTTTTATTTAAATCCAACTTTAATGGGTCCCACCCTACATCGTATTGGGTCCACGTCACTTGAAGGGCGATGCCAAATTTCATGGGCCAAGGGCCTCAACTATGTCAATGTTGGACTACTAATGGGCATACATGTCATATGTTGAGGTCGGTTTAATTTTAGATTTTTAGAAATTTATTTTAATTAAAATTTAATCACAAATTTGATTTAGATACGCGTAATTCACACCAAAGAATAATAATTTTTTTTAAAAACGACTTATATATATATGTTGAATATAAAAATTAAAAAAAAAAACACACGTATATATATAATACATCTTAATAATTTCATAAATATTTGTATATCAAAATATTCAATTTAATAACTAAAATCTAAAAAGATAAATTACGTGGAAAACGTAAAATTTTAACAAAGTATGATTTAATCAAATTACTTCTTACAATATTGGCTTTATAATTTGGGTCTTTTACTTGGTACTGTAATTAGTTTGCATATGAATCTGTAGGCGTTGCCATTGGTTTTATTATGCCACGGTGATATTTTCAACGCATATTAGGTTTCTCCTTGAAACCATTTTTTCCCCAAAACTTATTTACAAATATACAAAACAAAACCAAATTTACTTGCGAAGTTGCTCACTAATTGTCCAAGTATGCATGAACCATATATGCAATCATAATCTTTTAATATTTTGTCTTATTATGATGATTAGTCAAAGAAATACAGTACTTTAATCAAAACCCTTTTCATTATTATTGGTCTTTATGCTCTCAAAAGCGAGAACATAGCATCATAGAATATATATATATATATATTGATGGACTGATCTGTCAGCACAAATCCAATGTATGTAATGTATTATGATATTTATATAAGTTGGACGATAGTGTAACAGTTTTTCTATACACCGAAGACAAAAGAGACAATCAAAGAAATTCCAAAGGAAACAAAATGTTGGCTTCTATAAGTTATCAAATCCATATGTCATCGATCATTTTCTCTTATGATTCATATTGCCTTTGTCTTGAATTCTTCCATTATTATAATTACATAAATTTAATTATACTCTTTTAGTTTTTTACTCTAATTTATTTAGTACTTGTGGTCGTGACTTAGTTGGTTTTATTGAATATACTTTATAAAATTAATTTTAATATTTATTAGTTTATATAAATTAATTGAAATAATTAAAGATTAATTAATTTTATTTATGAATTAAAATAGTTCTATGTTAATTTCTATAACTTGACGTATACGACTCTTAATGTGATGCAATGCGACAATAGTTCCGCCGAACAAAAATTCGTATCAATATGGTGATCGTTGTTTGGGATGTAGTTTTTTTATGTTCATATTTAGAGAAATATATATGTTTGAAGTTTTCACTATTCTTACTTTTCCAAGTTTGAAAATCATTTGGACTGATTTATACACTTGGTTTCTTGTTTTTCTTCTCAAGTTGACCTTGTTGCCAAATCCAGCAGCCAATTAGGAAATAGTACACTTCATTTCACAATAAATATGAATATTATATGTATATATCATTTTCTCTTATCTTGATTTTAATTCAAGAGAAAATCGTATATAAACTGAATTTTTTTATAAAATATAAAACTTCTATATAAATACCTCAATTTTACAAAAATCCTACAGAAATAACTAGATGTTTAGAATTTTTCCAAATAAACTCAATGTTCATTAATATTTTTGACTGTTTTTTATTTAGAAAATACCTAAATTTTGAGTCTATTTAAAAAAAAATTAAAAATTTATATATTTATAGAAGATTTTTGAAAAGTTTATATATTTATATGAAATTTTTATATTTTAGTTATTTATGTATTTTTTAAAAGTTTAGATATTTATATGCGATTTTCTTTTTATTTGTTATCATTTATTAATTTTAAATTTTAAACTATAATAACATAAATATATGATGCAAGAATATGGATAATGTTATATAAAGAAATCATGTTATTTCATTTGCATGCATGCATATTTTAATGCAAGAAAAAGAAATTTGCTGACCATATATATATATAAGAAAAAACAGTGTGAAAAGCATCAATAAATAACTTGTAAGCCCAAACTACAGACCACAAATTTCTACGTAATGCGAACTTATCCACGTGGGCGCAGTATCGCATTGGTCAATGCAAATCTCAGACAGCTTTGTTTTTCATTAATTTCAGCCATTTTCTCTTTGTACACACATATATATATAAGTGTTATATTGTGATGATTTGCTACGAACCATTATAAAAAATATCCTTATTTTGATATTTCTACTTCAATTGTGACTATATAACCCATATGACTCAAAATATAGTGTGGTCACATTTTGATTTTATTGATTATAACGTTAAATTTATGTTGATCTCACTAATTCATTATGTTCATATATTGTATAACTTATTAATTATTTGATTAAAATATCATAAATTGAACAATGATATTAACATGTGACCATACTATATTTTGGATAACATGGATTACATGGTCACAGGTGGATAAGGGTATGTATTGAAGTAAAAATAGCAAAATAAAAGTATTTTTGATATAATGTCATTTGCTATTGACTATTAAATTAATTAAAGTAATTAATAATCTGTGCTTTGGGTTTGGAATGAGATCATGGTAGTTAGTAGGGACCCTCTTGACATCTAACACGGTTTCTTGGTTGCTTCCTTCATCTTTAATTTATTAATTTTTTTGTAAAAATAAAGTTATACTTTTTTAAAAACAGATAATACAATTTGATCTTGAAAATGCAAGTTAACCGTGCCGACAAAAGAAATTAGAATATTTTTTTTTGTCATGATTAGCTTCTATCTAAGAAAATGCTTGATATATCTACAATGTTCCAAATTATTAATCTAGGGGTTTAAAAATTGCAAATGAAAGTTAATGATGAGGGAAACGTGTCAAAGTTTCTAAAATTTGAAATTACAATATGAAAATAAAATTCGTCAGGAAGAAGAAATTTACGACAAACTAATAAATGGGACGAACACAAACCATACATATATATGTATATGAATTTAGGTTAGAAACGTAAGATTTACGTTATTAAAATCGATTTTAGTTATTTTTAATTAACATATATATATATATATATATATATTGATATTGATTTTATTTATATTATCATCAAAGGAAAATAATAATTATTTATTAGAATTCATATCTTACTGACGGAAACAAATTTAGATATAACAATTCAACCGATTTTATACTCGAATATAATGAAAAATTAGAACTAGAGCAAAAATATGAATTATAGTATCAAGACTGAATTGGTGCATTTTATATAAAAAAATTTAATTTTTATGGATTCGATAATGATTAGATATAGTTTTCAAAACCATGGATGGAGCATGTGAATCCGTGAGCATTAAAGCGAAAATAATAATATTTATAATGATAATTACAAAATAAATTAATAAATAAAAGAAGTAGAAATAATTAGTTGCCCACACTTCAGGGCATATTAACACGAGACGTCGAGGTAGAAGGAAAAACAGGGAAATATTATTTTAATCAGTTAATTAATTAATTTGTGCGGTGGAGTCAAAGCAAGAGACTCGGTCGTTCCGGTAGACAGTCAAACATGTTCTCCAAAATCTCAAGATCTATAAAAAAAAAAAAAAACTGTCAACATGTTTTCGTGTGTACACCACACCTTTCACCGTCTAAAATTAATCATTTAATCATTTTTATAAATTTATTTAATTTCTTCAAACCCTAAATTGCACCTGTCAAATGTGAAAACATGTGCGTTTTTAGGTTTATTTTTAAATTCTCAAAATTAGTTTTAAAATATTAATATTTAAAAAATTCGTAAAATTAAATTGCTCTATTGTGCGTGATGCTGAATTGAATAGTTCAAAAACTGCAGCTAAAATGGTCATAGCTTTGCTAAATTCTTATTAACAACTGTAATTATTTTTTAATCATCAGTTTCTAAAAATTTGTTCGAAAATTGAACGGCGAAAAAACTGCTGGTTGCTAGGTATAATTTGAATATTTGTAAATGATTTAATAACTGTGGATTGCCATTTATTTCGATATAAAAGTAATCACATCAATTGAAATTAATATTGAGTTACTAATAGCATAAAAAATTGTTTCAAGGAAAAAAAAAGTACAAATTACCCAATTATTTGTGGTCGAGTGGCTAGCGTGTTGATCCATAGGGCCTTCATGTCAAGCGCTCGATCTCGCATTAGGGAGGGAGAGATGTTATTTAATTTCTTTTATTTCTATGAAGTCGTCGCCGGTGTGATGTAGCTAGTTTGAGAGGGTGGTGGTGGGTTCCATGTTCCAGATCTTATATTCGAACCACGGGTGGGAGGGTGAGGCGTGGTTAGATATATTTTAAATGTTGTTTCCGATCCAGAGGATATAGGTTGAGTCGAAGTTTCAGTTATTCCCGTTAAAAAAGAAAAGTTGCGTATTGTAAGAAACAGAAACACTGTTTCCTAAAACCTTATAAATTATCCAAAACAAAGAATTGGGGTTATTTAGCAATTTCTAGAAATATGTACGCCCAATACAAGAAAGTACAGAAGTGATGGGGTGGAAATGTGAATCGATGAAGAAGTGCTTCCTATTCCTAACACATGGGCCCAGGAAAGTATCCAGTGGACCGTAACCGGTAGCCGGTAAAATGAGGAGCCGGGCCGTCAAATTCGTTGACTTGGTTGCCCCATCTCTTTATTTTGTTCGTACTTTTTCTATTTTTAATATTTTGTCACAAAAAAATTGATATGTTTAGGTTTTCAATAAATACCACAATGAATGACGGAAAATAATATTTAAGAAATCCAAGAAAAATATTTATATATGTTAAAAAAATTTCTGAATTATTGTTTCTTATCTAATAATATTAATATTTAATTATATATATATATGATTTTTTTGGAAATTTAATCAATTTTAAAAATATCTATTTTATATAAAAATGTCACAATTTATACAAAATTTTAAGAAAAAAATTATATATAAATATCTGAAATTTTACAAAATTACTAAATAAATATCTAAACTATAAAATTTCTAAATAAATATCTTAATTTTTCAAAATTTCTATATAAATATTTAAATCCATTAACAGTGTTAACGAATACTATTTTATTTGATAAATTTTAAAATTTTTGAGTATTTATGTACAAATTTTGAAAAATTTAGATATTTATTTGAGAATTTTATAATTGTCTGATAATTTTATAAAAAATTGAGTTATTTATATGTTATTTTTTTTAATTTTAATAATATGATATTTTTAATTAAAATAGTAAAGAAAGGGGAAATAATCACGTGGAAGACGCCGGAGAAATCGGGGGGCGGTGGGATCAAACTTTTCGTCGCATTGATCATCGAATCAGTCAATGCTCTTTCTTGACGATTTAAAGACGATACGACTTTCCCCTTTTCTCGTGATTTCTATTTCTATTTCGTACACCGAATTATTACGACAAATTAAAAGAAAAGCGGACCGGATCCTAAATGGGCAGCCGACCCGGTTAGATAACATTTCGCAATAATTCGTTATTTCCATTGATTCCGACCAAACTTATAATTAAACCTTGGATAGTGAACCAACCAGAAAAAAAAATCGACGTATTTTAGACATTGGTGTAGAGATTAAAGATGAGTTATATATATTCAAACTAATGCTCACTCGAAATTAATATTAGTACTTGTATAGAATTTTAAAACAATTCTTAATATATAATGTGCATATACTTCCACAATTAATCACTCATAAAAGGCGATAAACACTTATTTACATATCAGATATGACTCGGATATATTATAAAAACATACAATATTATATATTATATATAATTAAACATGATTAGAAATATATATCTACAAATACAATAAAATCTAAATATTGTATATAACTTATGATAAAACACTATTTCGTATAGAATGTGCATATATACATGATTCCACAGTTAGAAAAACACAGTGAAAAAGGAATATTTACGCATAACACAGATACAGTATAATATATATATATATATATATGTATATATACACGAGAAGGAATAAGCGTATTTCCCAAAAGGAAGTGGTTAGGGTCAGCGGAGGATCAAAACCCTGACGCAGCATCTGACGTAAAAAATACCAACAAAGAAAATTAAAATTTAATAAATAAAAAACGAAAACGAAAACTAGAAATGAAGAGTCGTCTTCAATCGGGGAAGGAAAAAAAAAAGTGGTCCTCGTCCAAATCCTTTATATAGGAGAGCCTACCGCTCCGGCGGAAGACTTCACTCTCTTTCTCTCTCTACATCCCCCGGAAAACCCCTCTCTCATTTTCTCTCTCTAAAAACCCTTCTTCTTCTTCTTCTTCTTCCTATTCTTCTTATATTTCAAATTTGAAATTCAGATTCAGATTTAAAATTCGAATCCATGGATCGAGGATGGGGAGGTCTGACGCTCGATTCGCAGTCTCCAGATCTCATAAACCCTAACTGCCGTCTCAAATTCCCCAATTCCCCGGTCTCCGACGCCCCTCAGAAGACGGAGTTGTTTAGGTTTCCGGTGAGTTTCGCCCGTTTCCGTGACCGGGAAGACGATCATTTCTCGTCCACCGGCGACGACGACAACGACCGGAAAGTTCCGAGCGAAGTGGATTTCTTCGCCGACAAGAAATATATGGTTTTACGCGGCAGTGATGGCGGCGACGGCTTACGAGTCAAGGAAGAGGACGGCGATGGTCGCACCGATGTAAACGTGAGTACGGATCAATGAATGTTTTAAATATCATTTTATGTAGTGATTTTTTTTTTTGTAATTTTCCGTTTTTTTTTTAATATAGACTGGATTGAATCTTCTAACGACGGGTAATAACACCGGAAGTGATCAATCTGTGATCGATGATGGGATATCTGCGGATATGGAAGAGAAGCGAACAAAGAACGAGGTATCCAGAAAATCTAATCATGGAAATTCTTCTCAATTATTTAAATTCGAATTTTAGTTCGATGTTTAATCGATTTCGCTTTTTTCCTCGTAAATTTAGTTGGCGGAGTTGCAACTTCAACTGCAGCGAATGAACTCGGAGAATCGAAAGCTTAAGGAAATGCTTGATGAAGTGTACAAGAATTACAATTCATTGTACCGGCAACTTGCACTGATGCAACAGCAGCAGAATATTCCCAATAAGGTAATTGCTACTAAACCCAAGTTCTAATGCAATCATCAATTTGATACTGTATTTTATTATTTTGAATATGAATTCAAACCAAAGGTCAAGTAATCGGGGTTTACAATTAAGTATACTGATTAGAAATCTAGATACCAATGTTCGAAAAAAGTAGTAGAAAAACGTGGGTCGTATAGGGATAAGTTTTTGAGTATGAAATTTTGATCTCCGCTAAACCATGAATTAGGCAATAGAGGGGAAACCAATCGAGACGCAATTGCAAGACGGGGTGAATGTGCCGAGGCAATTCATCGGGTTAGCCGGCCCTTCTGAGGCGGAGGACGTATCCAATTCTTCATCGGAGGAGAGAACTCGATCGGGTGCTTTGCCTGTTAACAAAGTCGAGCTTGAAGGGGATGATGACCTAAGGGGAGAGAAGAGACTTGCACGAGAAGACAGCGCCGAGACTGAGTCGAACAACATTTGGAAAGCTCCGAACAAGCTTCAGAAGGTGAATAACAGCAGTTCTCAAACCGATCAATCCACTGAGGCCACTATGAGAAAAGCCCGTGTCTCTGTTCGTGCTCGATCAGAAGCTCCAATGGTAAGATCCATCTCTTCATTACGCCAATAACAAGATATTTTATATACACGTATATGGACTTGTACATATATGAACTGATGATATCTGTTTTTTTTATTATTCATAGATAAGCGATGGATGTCAATGGCGAAAGTACGGACAAAAGATGGCCAAAGGCAATCCATGTCCACGAGCTTACTACCGTTGCACAATGGCCACAGGCTGTCCCGTACGTAAACAAGTACGTTTGCTCTTCTCCTTACTTCAACAATCCAATCAAAAAACACGACAAACTACTCAGTTATAAACGGACAACAAGTGATTGATGTTGTAAAAAACGTGTTTTTTGGATATATAGGTTCAGCGTTGTGCAGAGGACAAATCGATCTTGATAACGACCTACGAGGGGAACCACAACCACCCGTTGCCGCCAGCTGCGGTGGCTATGGCCTCGACGACCACTGCGGCAGCGAACATGCTGCTCTCCGGTTCGATGGCTAGCCACGATGGTTTAATGAACCATACCAATTTGCTAGCCCGAGCTGTACTTCCTTGCTCTTCAAGCATGGCCACCATCTCGGCCTCGGCCCCATTCCCCACCGTCACGTTAGACCTCACCCACACGCCGACTCAGCCGCCAAACCACCCTTTGGCTCCCCTTTGGCTCGGCAGCTGACTCCGCCGCAGCAGCAAATGACGAATTTGCCCCACGGCTTGTTACCTCATGTTATAGGACAAGCTTTGTATAACCAGTCCAAGTTCTCGGGAGTTCAGTTCTCTGGCAACGTCAACGGTTCTCCGGCGGCTCCTCCGCCGCAGGTGTTGGCCGATACGGTTAACGCGATCACAGCGGACCCTAATTTCACGGCTGCTCTCGCCACCGTGATTTCTTCTATGTTCAACGGGTCGAGTGTCGGAGACGGCGAAGGAAACCGGAAAAACCAGTAGAAAGACAGAAAAAGGCCAATGGATTAGATTCTTAAACCGAGTTTTTACCTGAAGGTAAACCTTTTTTAGCCAAAGTAAAATTATTTTAACGTTTAGCATTTTTCAAATTTTTTTTTAAAGTTAGAACGATGTTTGTTTATAATTTGTTTATTATTTTTCTTTCTGTCTCCGATCAAGAGTTTCTTTTATTCTCATCTGTAATGTTTAATTAAAAATTTGCAGTAAATACATGAATTTAAATTTCCAATATCTCATCTTCTGAGTCTCATCTTTAATATCGTGACTTACAGTTGGGTCTCTATACGCAAGTAAGCAACATATGTACGTATGAACGAATAGGACAACATGTGTAAAGATTAGACACCTAACAGCATTGTCGTGCCTTCACTAATAATGATTCAAAATTAATGGTGGTATTATATTAATAATTATAAGTAGAATAAAGACAATTACAAGATATATAAATACTAAATAGTGTAAAAAAACAAGTATAGGGGTCAATAAATACGGCCATGAGAATTTGACACGTAATTGCTGGCCCATGAAGGCACCTAAAAATCGGCGGATTTCAATGCGAAAACAGGAACAACTTCCTAGAAACTACGTCTTGAATAAATGACTGGAAAATCATGGATACATGAGTTGAAAAAAAAACAAATGGGTCAAATTGATTTCCAAGAAGAAAAGGGAAGAAAACGTGAATCCAAGAAATTAGTGGGGTTCTAGAGAGTTGTTAGTTGTAGATTTTTTTGTCTTTTTTTTGGAAATAGTGAAAAATATTTGACTATTACATTATTTGAAAAAAAAATTGAGTTAGACCAATCACGTACGTAAAAGTATGAAAGATGTGTAGACACGTAGACTTAATTAAAAGTTATATGTTATGTATACAATACATATTATTTTAATAAGCAACAAAAAAAATTGTGTATATTGACAAATTGACGATAAAATTTTATCTTTTTACAAAAAAAAAAGTTCATCTCTAAAATATCTATGGTAATCTTCTGTTAAAGAATATTTTCTACAATAATTTTAATACAATTCTCACCCTATTTGAATATAACCATATATAACTTATTTAAAAGTATTTTCACAATTTTTTGTAGGTGTTTAAATGTAAATGGAAAAAATAAAAGAGTACGTGAAATGAATGGAAAACACGAATTTATTTTCCTAATTTCACCTAAAATTTTCTAGATATGTGTTACACTGCAATTTAACTAATAGTTTTCACGATAATTTTAAATTAAATTCTCAACTGTTCTACTCCAATCGTACGTTACATATTTAAAGCGTTTTGACAACTCCTCTTCATGTTGATCAAAGAAGAAGAATTATTATTTCGTGGGAATATATATATATATATATATATATATATTATTTGGATAGAATAATAATATCTAATAGGCTTGGACGTAGATATTAAAAAAAAAAGGAGAGAAAAAAGGTACGTTGTTGACTTTCCGTGCAAATCCAGCCTGACGTGATGTCATGATCCCCGATCACGCCTCTTCTCTTTTAATTTACAATTTAATATTGTTTTCCATTTTTTTAAAAATATATAATATAATGTGTGTCTTCCCAAAATTTCATAGATTCGATGCATAAGATCTTACACACAGTTGTAAATAACGTTATTTGGAATACGAATAGGGTTGGAGTTTATCTACGTTATAATTTATAAATGATTATTATATTTACAAAATAAATATTTGCAATACCTACTATATTTACCTAATATATAGAGAACTTCCACTTCCACATGCAAAATTACACCAAACTTTATATTTTAATTTTTTATTGGTGATATGTAAGTGTAAAGTAACTGAACAAACTCTGGTTATATATAAGCTAGGAAATCCTTTAATAAGTTTATTTTTTTGTTAAAAAAAAGGTAAAAGACACTTTAAATTGCATGATCCAAAGTTCACTTTCCCCCTTAAATTTGGGGATTGTAAACATTTTGTATTGACTATGAATAATATATAGAATAATTGGTGTGTGTTGTATTAACATTATTCAAATATTCATAAAAAAAATTAAGCTTGGTGGAAACGGAGTGTCATGGGGGAGATGTCGGGTCGGACCTACATTAAGGACCGGCTGTACGGTAGCCGCAATAATATTAATAATAATAATAATAATAATAATTTTCATTTACGTGTTGCCTTAGCTTGCGGGGATAGCCAAAAGGTAAGACTTCTCTGCGGATTTTTTTAGTAAAAATAATAATAATTGTCACGTGTTTGTTTTCATGTGGTTCCATTAAATTATATTTGTAACTTTTCGTCTTTCTCGAATTTGCGGCGGCTGCGTTTCAAACGCTAGTTGCTGCTTCTTTTCATTGGGCCCTTCACTGTTTTCTATAGGCCCATAAAGTTATTTTCTCTAGGCTCACCAATTTTCTGAAGGCCCATTTATAGTTTTGTAGGCCCATAATAGGAAACCACTTTAAGGCCCATTAAATCGATCTTAATTTTAGGCGTAACAATTTATTCGAGTGAAATGCATATCGTCAGATATCCATATCACATAAGATGCGTGATATTATCCATAAAATTGAAATTATTTGTTTTCTTCGGGTAATAGAGCTTAACCCACGGAAATACATTTTAACTAATCTGTATTTGTCATGAAATTATCCTTTTGGGGAAGATGTGAAACTGTGACAGTATAACTTTAAATACTAATATAAAATTTTAAATAAATCGATTCGTGACTATATTTTCTTTTTTCTTTTTTACTTTTATAATATTTCCGCAACATCCGCATTATAAGATGTTGAATCGATGAAACTTTAAGAATTTAAAAACTAAAAAATTTGACAATTAAAATTTTATAAATTTTTTTTTAAAATTTGAAAAACTATTTTAATGATGAAATCAATTAAAAACCGAAAATTCTATTTTTTAAATTTATAAATATTATAAAGTTCAAAAATTAAAAACTTGAAATAAAAACGATAACCTAAATTCCCTTTTACATGTCATCTTAGATCTCAACCTTTGGGACCAGAGAGCACGTAATTTAAGATACACTCGTATGCACTTGATTCTTTTATCCTCTTGAGATATTTTTTCCAGATATAACGTTATCCAAATTTCAACGGTTAAAAGCCCAACGCGATACAGATCCAACGGTTGAGATTAAAACATGGTAAATAGTAAAAATAAAAGTGGGCCCCGCCGAATAGCACGTTCTCTGTCTCGGTCATCAAATGGATTCGCTTGATCAATGTACATAAATGTCACTCCTTGGCTTCTTCTATGTTCTTCAACTCTCTCCGCCATCATCGTCTCTAAGAATCTCGAGCTGTCCCTCGGTGAGTTCTCTCGATTCTCTCTCATTTCTTTAGCATTTCGAAGCTAGGAACTCGCATATTTTTTTTTTGTCATTTCTCGGTATCGATTCTCGTTTTCCGATTGTTTTTTCTTCGATCGAATCCCATGATTTCAGTGATCGTAATGTTCGATCAAGGCTTCGTATCTGTTTGGGTCGTGATCGTCGTTTTAACACTGCTTTTGTCAAGTTTTCAAGGTCTTTGTCATTTCGCAAAGTGAAGAGGGTTGTTTTACTTAAGTATGGCCTTGAAGCTCCTACGAATTTTAGCGTTGATTATAGCATCAATCTATGTTTTTTTTTTCCTTTTTAGTCTTTTGATGCTTCATTGCAGCGAATTAGGTGAAATGGGAGGACAAAATCGAACGATTGTTGTCGCTGTCTTTCTATCTTTCCTGTTGTATTGTTCCGTCTCCTCTGAGCGAAATGACGGGACATTGAGAATTGGGCTGAAAAAGTTGAAGCTGGATCCCAACAAGCTGCACGACTCGATTCCAAGCGAGAAGAAGCGTTGAGAGCTTTCCGTTTTCGAAACAAGCTCGGAGATTCTGGAGATACCGATATCGTTGCGCTGAAGGATTACTTGGACGCTCATTATTATGGTGAGATTGGAATTGGTGTTGGATTTTTTTTAATTAAATGAAAGGAGATATTTTTGTATGTTATTCTCCACATTTATATTCTAAAACTTAAAAAATATTTATGATTTTTGGGAGTTTTACAATTTTTCAATCCTATAAATAGGAGGCTTTGTTTTCATTTTTAAACACATCAAGAAAAACACAAAAGCTTTCTACAAAAGAAAGAAAATCATCTTTTTTCCTTTGTGATTCAAACCGAGCTTTGAGTTCGACAAGGCACCGGAGTTTGAAGTACCACTGTTCCGGTGAGGTACGTCCGTCATATCCTGGGAGGATATATTCCATTAACCGTAGGTACCGCGCAGAGAATAATTTCCTTAAGCTTGTTGGGTGTGTTATTTTATATGTCTCATATTTAAGACAAAGTAAAGTTTTTCAATTTCGGAAAAAAAAACCGATAAAATATTTAAGTGTTGACGGTGAGAAAGTTTTGCCAAGGAAAGAGGTTGGATAATTATGCGCTCTGTATATAGAGTTGGCTCCCTCTTATCTGGAAACGATCTAAATAACACTTAAATAGTTTTATGGTTTACTCATTGAGGTTTTGAGATTATTACCCGCATGGTTAAATAATCGAGTTCAGAAATTATTACCGTAAGGTTTTAAAATTCTGATATTTTTAGTTGTAATACTAAAAAGCGGTATTCTGATTTTCAGAAAATGGCTGAAAATGTTGCTGCTATGCCTGTGGTTGTACCCACAGTGACTCCCCCTGCACCAGCACCTGCGAAAAAACCGGTCAAGTTTTTCGGTGTTGATTTCAAGAGGTGGCAGACAAAGATGTTCTTTTATTTGACAACATTGTCATTGCAAAGATAAATCAAGGAAGATGCTCCTAAACCGGCAGAGTCTGTACCGGAAAAGGAACGCTTCGTGGTGATTGAGGCTTGGAAGCACTCAGACTTCCTGTGTAAGAACTATATTTTGAGTGGTTTAGATGACTCATTATATAATGTCTTTTGTACAGTTGCTACTTCACGAGAGTTATGAGAGGTTCTCGAGAAGAAGTACAAAACTGAAGATGCCGGTATGAAGAAGTTCATAGCCGTCAAGTTTCTTGAATTCAAGATGGTTGACAATAAACCTGTCTCAACCCAAGTTCAAGAACTGCAAGTCATTGTTCAGAATCTTCTTGCTGAAGGTATGATGATCAATGAAGCTTTTCAAGTAGCTGCCTTCATCGAGAAGTTACCACCCTCGTGGAGGGACTTCAAGAACTACTTGAAACATAAGCGAAAAAAGATGTCGCTTGAAGACTTGATTGTCCGTCTCAGAATTGAAGAGGACAACAAGATGACCGAAATGAAAGCTCGCGGGACAAGCTCGGTCTTAGGAGCAAATGTCATTGAACATGCTTCATCTGTTGGTAAGAAAAGAAAGAATTTTTCTAACCAAAAGAATAACCCGAATAAATTTGTTAAGAAATTTAAGGGTTCTTGCCATAACTGCGGTAAGTTTGGTCACCGAGCTGTGGATTGTCGTGGTCCAAAGACCAAGAAGAAAAACAATGTTAACATCATGGAGATTGCTTCCGGAGTGGAAGATATTGATTTGTGTGCCATGATCTCTGAAGTTAACTTGGTTGGAAATCCCAAGGAATGGTGGATGGATTCCGGTGCTACCCGCCATGTGTGTGCCAATAAGTGGATGTTCTCATCTTATGTTCCCGCTAAAGATGGAGAAACTGTGTTCATGGGAAATTCCACAACTGCGAAGGTTGAAGGGACTGGAAAGGTTGCCCTCAAGTTGACCTTCGGAAAGATAGTGACTCTCACTAATGTTCTTCATGTACCGGAGATTCGGAAGAACTTAGTGTCGACATCACTGATGGTGAAACATGGATTCAAATGTGTTTTTGTTTCCGATAAGCTTGTAATAAGTAAGAATGTCATGTATGTTGGAAAAGGTTACCTCACTGAGAGACTTTTCAAACTCAATGTAATGACCATGAATGTTAATAACAATGATTCTTCCGCTTACTTACTCGAGTCGAATAATCTATGGCACGCTAGATTGGGACACGTGAATTACAAGTCTTTGAGAAAAATGATCAATTTGGAATTGTTGTCCAAATTTGATTGTAAGCAATCAAAGTGTGAAGTCTGTGTTGAATCTAAGTTTACTAAACATTCTTTCAAATCAGTTGAGAGAAGTAATGAACCTCTAGACTTAATTCATACGGATATTTGTGATATGAAATCATCACCATCTCGCGGTGGTAAAAAGTTTTTTATAACTTTTATTGATGATAGCACACGATATTGCTATGTTTATTTGCTTAATAGCAAAGATGAAGCTATTGTTGTTGCATTTAAACAGTACAAAAATGAAGTTGAGACACAACTCAACAAAGAGATCAAAATGATCAGAAGTGATAGAGGCGGTGAATATGTATCTCCGTTTGAAGAAGTATGTTTGGAATTTGGCATTATTCACCAAACTACCGCCCCATACACTCCCCAATCCAATGGAATTGCGGAAAGGAAGAATCGAACATTGAAGGAGATGATGAATGCCTTATTGATAAGTTCCGGTTTACCGGAGAACATGTGGGGCGAAGCTATTTTAACAGCTACTCAAATACTCAACCGAGTTCCCCACAGTAAGACACAATCCATTCCATATGAAAAATGGAAAGGAAAAAAGCCTAACTTGAATTACTTCAAAGTGTGGGGGTGTCTAGCAAAGGTCCAGGTTCCTCTCCCAAAAAGGGTTAAAATAGGACCGAAAACGATAGATTGCGTTTTCATAGGTTATGCTACAAAAAGTAAAGCGTACAGATTTTTGGTTCACAAATCTGAAATCCCCGATATTCAGAGGAATACGGTGACTGAGTCAGATAATGCTGATTTTTTTGAAGCGATCTTCCCGTACAAAAGAGAATGTGAATCAATTAATAAAGGAACCAAGCGAAATCGGGAAGTGAATACAGAGGATGCACAAAATGAGATAGAACCTAGACGTAGTACACGTCAAAGGATTGCTACCTCATTTGGTCAAGATTTTCTAACATTTATGTTGGAAAATGAGCCTCAAACGTATAAAGAAGCTGTGACTTCTCCAGAAGCTCAATACTGGAAAGAGGCTGTCAATAGTGAAATTGAATCCATACTGAGCAACCATACGTGGGAATTGGTTGATCTTCCTCCAGGGAACAAACCGTTAGGTTCCAAATGGATTTTCAAAAGAAAATTGAAAGATGATGATACTATTGACAAGTACAAGGCGAGACTAGTTGTGAAAGGTTTTCGACAACGAGAAGGTCTTGACTATTTTGATACATACTCGCCAGTCTCGAGAATTACATCCATTCGGGTGTTAATTGCTTTGGCTGCCGTCTATGAATTGCAAATCTATCAAATGGACGTTAAAACCGCCTTTCTAAATGGAGATTTAGAGGAAGAAATCTATATGGAACAACCTGAAGGGTTTGTAGTTCCGGGAAAAGAAGGTAAGATGTGTCGACTTGTTAAGTCTTTTGTATGGACTTAAACAAGTACCAAAGCAATGGCATGCTAAGTTTGACAATATAATGTTGACAAACGGGTTTAAGATTAATGAGAGTGATAAATGTATCTACATTAAGAACACTCCTAATCGAATTGTCATTGTATGTTTATATGTGGATGATATGTTGATAATGAGTAATGACATTTCAACTATAAACGATACAAAGCGCGTGCTATCCACAAGATTTGATATGAAAGATTTAGGAGTTGCTGATTTAATTCTTGGAATTAAAATCATTCAAACTCCTGAAGGTCTTGCGTTATCTCAATCTCATTACATTGAGAAAGTACTTGAGAAGTTTAAATACTTGGATTTCAAAGTCGCAAGAACTCCAATTGATGTGAACCTTGCTCTTGCAAAGAACAAAGGTAAAAGCGAGTCTCAATTGGACTACGCAAGAGTTCTAGGAAGCTTGATGTATATCGCAAACTGTACGCGACCAGATATTGCTTGTGCAATAAGTAAACTCAGTCGATATACGAGTAATCCAAATCCTAGTCATTGGATGGCAATGAAACGTGTTTTGGGGTATTTAAAACATACTCAAAATTACGTATTACATTACTTCAAATATCCCGCTGTGCTTGAAGGATATTGTGATGCTAATTGGATTACTGGGTCAAGTGAAAAAAAATCCACGAGTGGATATGTCTTCATGATTGGAGGAGGAGTTGTGTCTTGGAAATCATCAAAACAGACATGTATCGCTCGCTCTACAATGGAAAGTGAATTCATAGCTTTGGATAAAGTTGGTGAAGAAGCTGAATGGCTTAGAAATTTCTTGGAAGATATTCTGTATTGGCCCAAACCATTGAAATCTATATGCATACACTGCGATAATCTCGCTGCAATAGGAAGGGCAGGAAGTGTGATGTACAACGGAAAGTCTCGTCACATTAGACGTAGACATAATACCATTAGACTACTAATCTCAAGTGGTATTATCACTGTTGACTACGTGAAGTCAAAGGATAATGTAGCTGATCCACTTACAAAAAGTCTTTGTAGAGATTTAGTTGAAAAATCATCCAAGGGAATGAGTTTATGGCCAAGGACAAGTTAGTACGGTGGTAACTCTACCTAGCAGACTGGAGATCCCAAGAACTAGGTTCAAAGAGAATACAAAGTCGTAACTAACGGTTCAACATTGTCAAATATAACCCAACTCATTCTCATGATGAGACAATGTTCTATGGAAAAGGGCAAATTATACGACTTTAAGTTAGAAGACTTAAAAGCTAAGAAATTTTTAATGGTTCCTAAATTTGACAAGATCAAATAGTGTATCTTCAGAGATGACACGCTTAGGAAACCACCTATGTGAAAGTGAAGTGTGGGCCGCTTCAAGGAGAATAATGGTTGGCCAGTTCTCTACGCTTTCATGAAACCAGACACGTGTTCATGGCTGTAACGAACACAAAAGTGAGAACCAAAGACGGTTAAGAATTAATTATGTGGTTTAGATTGTCTTGGTATACATAAAAACCGACGGTTCAAAGATATCACATCTACCGATTGGTGAGTATATCCGATTTAAATCCACTATGGAAAGTTCAAAGGGAAACCTACTTATCCAGATGCGATTAATTCTTCATAGTTGAATCACAAAGGTTGCATGGTTTTAAAGAGTTTTCTAAAATTCTCCATTCATGTGGGGGATTGTTGGAGTTTTTTTAATTAAATGAAAGGATATATTTTTGTATGTTATTCTCCACATTTATATTCTAAAACTTAAAAAATATTTATGACTTTTGGGAGTTTTACAATTTTTCAATCCTATAAATAGGAGGCTTTGTTTTCATTTTTAAACACATCAAGAAAAACACAAAAGCTTTCTACAAAAGAAAGAAAATCATCCTTTTTCCTTTGTGATTCAAACCGAGGTTTGAGTTCGACAAGGCACCGGAGTTTGAAGTACCACTGTTCCGGTGAGGTACGTCCGTCATATCCTGAGAGGATATATTCCATTAACCGTAGGTACCGCACGGGGAATAATTTCCTTAAGGAGACACGGTTCGCCGTGGGTTCGGATTTGGTTTTCCGGTTTTAAAACAAAAATCATATTGATATAATGATGTTGGTTTGAACATAACTTTCTATACCGTTATCGGAATTGCATGTTCTTGACGTCGTTTCATAGATATCGAAATTATCTTTCTAATGATGTATGATATGCATGAGGTGGTTGTATATTTTGAAAGCTATTAAGTTCGAAGTTCTTTGTATGAAATTGGAAGTTAGTAAAGTATGAATATGAGACATAAAATAACACACCCAACAATTGGTACTCCACCTCAGAAGTTCACTGTGATACAGGAAGCTCTGATCCTTGGGTGCCATCATCGCAGTGTTATTTATCTGTAAGCATTAGCATTTGGTCTTACATTTGCAGAATGTGTCGGAGATAGATACTAATCTTTTTCATTTCATAGGTTGCCTGCTTCTTCCACAACAAGTACAAGTCATCTCGTTCGAGGACATACAAGAAAAATGGTTTGTTCCTTCTCTTTCAACCTCGTGTTTCATGTTTCTGTAAACGAGGGATGTACTGTTTGTCATGCTTGCTTGCCAGTTGCATATTTTCCCTCAGTGTGCTTATAAGAGGTTCACTTGTAGTCAAGTGTCTTGCTTTTGTAGCTTCCAGAAATATCACTGTTGGTATAATCTCATTAAAGTATGTCATCCCGTTCATCGTTGATGCAGGAAAGTCTGCCGCAATTCACTACGGCACTGGAGCAATCTCGGGTTTCTTTAGTAATGATGCCGTTAGGGTTGGTGATCTGGTTGTCCATGATCAGGTAAACTAAATTATCTGATCTCTACCTGACCTATGCCTTTTTACTGCATTCTGATTGATCATTCCTCTCTTTTTGTCCTTGCTGATCTCTTCAGGAGTTTATTGAGGCAACCGGGGAGCCCGGTATAATGTTCTTGGTAGCTAAATTTGATGGTATTCTCGGTCTTGGATTCGAAGAAATCTCTGTTGGGAATGCCACTCCTTTTTGGTATGTGGACTTTGTTGCATTGGTGTTACTTCCCTTGTGGTGTTGTTGGCTTCCTGACACAGAAGTTTTGTCACAAAGGTACAACATGTCACGTGGTGAATCAGGAACAACAACGGCCAAGAAAACTCTGATGTATTCTCAGAAGACATAAGCAAGTATATATACAACGTATTTGTCTGTAACCTAGGATCTGATGCATAAGGAAAGGAAATATGTAACGTGATAGTTTCCTTGTACATCTGATACTTCATATATACCGTAATACCCCTCCTCAAGTTGGAGCATAAAGATCGTGGATGCCCAACTTGGAGAGAAACAAATCGAACTCTTTTCGTCCGAGAGCTTTCGTAAAAATGTCCGCGAGTTGCTACAGTGTAGAGACATGTCGAGTTTCAATAGCTTTGGAGCTGACATGATGGCGGATAAAGTGGCAAGCGACTTCGATGTGTTTAGTACGATCATGAAAGACATCATTTGCTGCAATATGAAGAGCAGCTTGGCTATCACAATGTAAAATCATTGGGTCGGAATGAGAGATACCTAGCGAATGTAGGAGACCCTTGAGCCATAGGAGTTCGCAAACAGTGACTGCCATGGCGCGATACTCAGCCTCCGCGGAGGAGAGCGAGATCGTTGGTTGCTTCTAGGACTTCCATGAGATAGGGGATCGTCCGAGCTGTATAATCCAACCGGAGAGGGATTTTCGGGATTTTTGACAGCCCGCCCAATCGGAATCACACCAACCATATAGTCGAAGATCCGAATCTGCTCTAAGTAAAATTCCCTGACCTGGGTTTCGTTTCAAATACCGAACCACTCGTAAAGCCGCATCCCAATGATCTTGGCGAGGAGCTTGCATAAATTGAGACAACGTGTGGACATCATACGTAATGTCCGGTCGCGTAGCAATCAAATACAGTAATCGCCCAATCAGCCTTCGATATGGCTCGGGATCCGATAATACAGTGCTCGTGGAGATGGACAATCGATGATTCTGATCAAGAGGAATGGAGGTGGACTTGGCACCAAGAAGGCCTGTTTCCTGCAGAATATCGATCGTGTACTTTCTCTGTGACAAGGAGATGCCAACCGAGCTTCGAGCAACCTCGATTCCAAGGAAATATTTCAGTGGGCCGAGATCTTTCATATGAAAACAAGAGTTGAGATATTCCTTGAAATCTTGCATAGCTGATATCGAGTTTCCGGCCACGAGAAGATCATCAACATATACCAACACATGCAGTTGAATAGAAGCGTTGTCGAAAACAAATAGAGAATGATCAGATTGTGACTGCACAAACCCGTAGCGACGTAATGCCGAAGTGAGCTTGGCGAACCAACAACGGGGAGCTTGCTTGAGTCCATATAATGATTTGCGTAGGCGGCAAACTTGGTTCGGCTTTGTCGGAGTGAAACCCGGTGGGAGTTTCATGTAGACCTCATCATGAAGATCACCATGGAGGAATGCGTTATGAACATCCATTTGATGAACGTCCCATTTTCGTGCAACAACATAGGCAAGATAAGTACGGACAGTTACCATCTTGGCCACGGGTGCGAATGTTTCGTCGAAATCAACACCCGCTGTCTGTTTGTTACCAAGGATTACGAGACGCGCCTTATGTCTCTCAATTGTGCCATCAGACCTGTATTTCGTTCTGAAAATCCATTTACAGCCAATGGATTTCTTGTCGGAAGGTAGTGATTCAATCGTCCATGTCTGATTCTTCTCGAGGGCTTGGATTTTGGCTTTCATGGCTTCTCTCCATTTTTCATCCTTAACTGCTTGATTATATGTTTTCGGATCTGAAACAGAATCGACTGCTGCGAGAAAAGCTTGATGGGTCAGAAAGACATTGTGGTATGACACAACATCTTCAATCGGATACAAAGGTTGTGCATAAGTGGAAACTGTCTGGACAGCATTCGTCTGGAAATCCTTCAGACGAACATTCAGAAATCGTTGCCTGTGTCCCCTGCCAAGTTCAACCTCAGATGTCGAAACTGGCAGAGATGTGGAAGATGAGTGTTGATGAATTTCTTCGGCATGGAGATTTGAAGAGGCAGAATTTTCGGCATCATTGCTTCCAGGACTGTCGGAGCTCGAAGTGTCAGCCGTAGGAAGAGAAACAGATGCTTGATCAGACAGTATCGCAGCTGGAGTTGAGTCGGATTGCAAAACAGAGTTTGAAGAGGACGAAACAGAATCAGAATTCTGTATCGGAAACAGATCATCTTCAGGAGGTGACAGAAAATGTGGCACCGACGATGGAGAGTCTGACAAAGGCTCAGGGGCAAGATTTCGTAGGGGAAATTTGTCTTCGCAGAAAACTACATCGCGGGAGACGAATATGCGTTTGGTCTCAAGATTATAAACTCTCCAACCCTTCTGACCCAAAGGATATCCAAGAAACAAACAGCGTATGCTTCGACTTGCAAATTTATCCCCACGATGATGCTGATTGTGTACGTAGCAAAGACAACCGAAGACACGGAGGTGAGCGTATTTTGGCGGTTGTCCATGAAGAACGTCATAAGGTGTTCGACCATTTAGTATTTCTGATGGAGTTCGGTTTATCAAGTACCCGGCTGTAAGAATACTTTCGCCCCAAAATTCAGTCGGTAGATTAGCTTGAAATAGCAACGAGCGTGCGACATTGAGAATGTGACGATGCTTGCGTTCGACACGACCATTCTGTTGCGGTGTCCCAACGCAAGATGTTTCGTGGATAATCCCAAGATCCGAAAAGAAGGTTCTCATGCTCACAAATTCTGATCCATTGTCAGAACGTATAACCTTAACCGAGACATCAAACTGACAGCGGACCATAGATATAAACTGTCGGAGTTTGATGGAAGCTTCGTTTTTGCTGGTTAGAAGATAAATCCAAACAGCGCGTGAATAATCATCAACCACGGTTAGAAAATATTTTGCACCAGAAAACGAAGGAGTGCGATACGGTCCCCAAATGTCGCAGTGAACTAACTGAAAAATCGCCGAACTTTTATTGGTACTCAAGGGAAATGAATCTCGTGTTTGTTTGGCCCGCAAACAGACATCACAATGTTTAGATTCAGAACAAACAATACTCGGAATATTCAAAACTGAAATCTTGCCAAGAACTTGAGAAGATGGATTGCCCATCCTTTGATGCCACAACTCAAAAGACTGTCTATTCTGTGTTCGTGTTGCTCCAACTGATACCGCGCCACGGAAATAGTACAATCCATCCTGTCGTTCACCCGCTCCAATCGGCATCTTGGTAGTACGGTCCTGAATAACACACAAATCACGAGCAAAGGTGACGATATTGTTGCTGTCATCCAAAAGTTGAGACACAAAGATCAAATTGCAACGGAGGCCTGGGACAAACAGAACATTTGACAACTGAAGGCTAGGGCTGAGAGAGACCATTCCTGATTTAACAGAAACAACATGTCGAGCATCCGGCAGAATCACAGAAACTGGCGTTATAGAAACAACAACACTCATAGAGGACATATCACCGGTCATATGATGCGAGCAACCTGTGTCGATAATCCAAGAAGAGCCAGAAGACTTACCAGACAAAGTCTCAGAATTACCGACAGGATTTGCAGTGAGAAGGTTCATCAATTTCTGCCATTGTTCTTCGGTGATTCCACTGCCATTCTGGTTGGCAGTATTGATCATGTTTGTTGCCGTGGATGCAGCATTTGCTCTGGCAACATGCCCGACAGGACGATCTCCGTGATGCAGTCCAGAGTTGTTGGTCGAGTTTTGTTGAGCAGCATGTCCGCGACCTTTGCCCCGAGATGCCCCGGTTCTGTTCCGAGGGCGATCGCCCCACCAATCTGGGAACCCGACGAGTTGAAAGCAAACATCGGCGAGATGTCCGGTGCGGTTGCAGTTTGTACACAGAACTGATTTATCCTTTTCGACAGATTGTGTTCGCGGTCGAGTTTTAACGGAGAACACCGCAGCTTCCGATCTGTCATCGTGAATTTGAGTAATCTGCTTGGAATCTTCGTCTTGTGCTACAGCATTGTAGGCTTCCTCAAGGGTGGGCAATGGTTGTCGAGAGAGAAGATTAGAACGCACAATTCCATAGCGCGATTCATCTAATCCAAGCAGAAACTCATAAAGTCGATCTTCGTTCCGTTCTTTTTTAAGAACAGCAGCGATGTCACATGAACAATGGCCACACTTACAGGTCTTCAATGAGCGGAAATTCGCCAAATCGTCCCAAAGCTTTGTTAGCTTTCCAAAGTATGCTTCAACTGTCAAGCCAAGTTGACGACAGTTTGCGAGTTCACTTCGAATCCGAAGTAGTCGAGGAGCATTTGTCTTACCGAAACGCCGCTTTAAATAATCCCACAGATCAGTTGCATACTCTCGGTGAACCACGTCAGATCGAAGGGAAGGCTCGAGAGTATTTTTGATCCATGAAACTATGAGAGCATTGTTGGTGTCCCAATCTTCAAAATCTGGCGAGGTCGCATCAGGCTTAGAAATCGAGCCATCCACAAAACCGAATTTCTTGCGAGATTTCAGAGCCTGACGAATATTAATGGACCATTCATCGTAATTGTCGCCACGCAGCAGTGGCTGTGACAGAACCAATCCCGGATTATCACTTGGAGTAAGATCATACGGGGAGATGGTGCGTCGAGGAGGAATGACAGAATCAGGATGCGTTGCTGCGTTCATTGTCGGGTTCGAAGGAGCAGTCGAGTTGCTGTTCGGGGTCGGAGTCGTCGAGGTCGGTTCAGTCGAGGTGTTTTCGGTGCCGGTAGACATTCAGTCGAGATTTAGATCGGTGATTTGTGTGCGTCGTGCTCTGATACAATGTCACGTGGTGAATCAGGAACAACAACGGCCAAGAAAACTCTGATGTATTCTCAGAAGACATAAGCAAGTATATATACAACGTATTTGTCTGTAACCTAGGATCTGATGCATAAGGAAAGGAAATATGTAACGTGATAGTTTCCTTGTACATCTGATACTTCATATATACCGTAATACAACATGATCAACCAAGGACTTATCAAGGAACCGGTCTTTTCGTTTTGGCTTAACCGTAATCCTGAGAGTGAAGAAGGAGGTGAACTTGTGTTTGGAGGTGTTGATCCAAATCATTTCAAGGGAGAACATACTTTTGTTCCTGTAACTCAAAAAGGTTACTGGCAGGTTGGTCATGCTTCATTACGAACGTCTGTCTACGTTTTGTAGCCACCTTCTCATTGAAACTATATTTTGTGTGATAGTTTGACATGGGTGATGTTCTCATTGGCGGTGAAGCCACTGGTACATGCATTTTTCTTATAATTTTTTTAGTATCATATAGCTTTTTTTTAAACAGATGATTGATGAAGTTAGACATGATTGTTTTTGTTCTAATGCTTGATTTTCTGTTGTACAGGATACTGTGAAAGTGGTTGCTCAGCGATAGCAGATTCTGGAACTTCTTTGCTTGCAGGTCCAACGGTAAGCAAGAATCCTAATAATTCACAGCTTTTAGGTCTTTGGTTTTTCGGCCATAGGAGAATCTTGAATTTCTTAGATTCATATAACCGGATGGAAAATAAATGAAAACATAGTAGAGTCAACTTATGCATTTCTATCTGTTTCTACGTTTTCATTTGGTTAATGTCATAATATTATTTGCTCTGGTGTGTCTTTCTTTCTATAGACTGTGATTGCAATGATAAACAAAGCAATTGGGGCATCTGGAGTGGTTAGCCAGCAATGCAAGGCTGTTGTGGAGCAGTATGGCCAGACCATTTTGGATTTACTTTTGGCCGAGGTATAAAGAACACTACTCTGATTCATTTATAAAAGAAAAGTTTGTAACGATCATTTGTTTTATGTCCGACCCATGTTTTGATTGTTTCATTCGACTTGTCTCAGACACAGTCGAAGAAGATCTGCTCTCAAATCGGGTTGTGCTCCTTTGACGGTGCTCGTGGTGTTAGGTATGACTGGTGTCCTTCGAGATGCTGCATGCTCTGCATGTGAGATGACGGTCGTATGGATCCAGAACCAATTGAGGCAGAACATGACTCAAGATCGCATATTGAACTACATCAACGAGGTACCGAAAGAGGTCCATATAATACCGTATCCTTCATGGAACATTCGAAGAAGAAGGGTCTTGTCCTAAATCCGATCTACTTCTCTTTTTTTTCCCCCTCAACAGCTATGTGACCGAATGCCCAACCCGATGGGAGAGTCAGCAGTTGACTGTGCCCAGTTGTCGACCATGTCTACTGTTTCCTTTACCATTGCAGGCAGAGTCTTCGGGTGTTCACGCTAATGAGCTCGGAAGGAGGATCAATTGTATAAGTAGACGTGTGTTTGTTAAAAGCCCGTGTCTTTGTTTCATCTAACCTCTCTCGACTCTTACATCGTTTTTATTTTCTATGTTGGGTTCGGGTTTCGGGTGTGAAATAGTACGTACTGAAGGTGGGAGAGGGAAAAGTGGAACAGTGCATCAGCGGCTTTATCGCTCTCGACGTTCCTCCACCTCGTGGACCTCTCTGGTACCTTTTTTTTGTTTATTTAACAATCGAAAACTCAAGAAAACAAAATATGTATTTGATTATATACCGTCTCTTGTCGTATGGAACAGGATAATGGGAGATGTATTCATGGGTAAATACCACACTGTCTTCGACTTTGGCAACCAGCGAGTTGGTTTCGCTGAAGCAGCAGCTTCTGCTTAAACATGGAGAAAAGGAAAGACAGGATGTTAGGTTCGGTCTCTTTTCTTTTTTATTTTAATTAAAAAAAGTCTTTAGTTGGCTTTTTTTTTTTATGTTTTCGATTTTTTTTGTTGCTTTTAGCAGTCAACTCCCTGTGTTTAAGGATGGACTTAGGGTTTAGAGTCCGTTTGCCAGTTTTAAATCTATGGATCTTCCTGCAGAAGATGAAGAAGTTATGTTACCTTTCTTGTCTAAAGATCGAAGAACACAAACACGAATTTGTTAGTTTATATGTACATCACTGAGAAATTCGTGTTATATATTTACATGTGCTTGCATCTTTATTCCATTTGAATGTGCAAAAAACAGCGGTTGGGATTTCAGATGCAAAATCTGCACGTTTCTATTTGCATCAATTCACCATTTTAATATTCGCTATCGTGAGCCATTGATGCAACCATTATACAGAGTCCGAACCATTTGATTCGAGAATCTCTTACATAAGAATATAACGGTGGTGTATAATATCCACACAAACCTTGTAAATGTTTCTTCTAGAAACCAATGCAACGGCTTGGTGTTCATTCCTTGCTTACGATGGGAAACATCCACTTGCAATGGCGACGTAAAAATAATTCACTGATTTATGGTCAATGAAAAAGAAGAGCAAATAATATATGATCATTAGTGGAGAGTTGCCACTATGGGTTTCAGTCGTTAGCAACATCTTTTATCTTATCAAAAGGGACGAAACCAAAAACCCTAAAACCTAAAAATGCCTTTGGATAATATAAATATCCAATGAAATAGCAATACCAATTTTAGTTAGGACACGTTGGATATAATATAATTCAATACAAATTCAATATGTAGGGATGACATCAAGGCTATTGCAGACAACATCATCCACATCCTAATAATGGATACAAATTTCTACAATTAAAATATTTAATCCCATGGTTGGTTAAACAAGATTTTTTCCACCAAATTTGAACCTAAGATATATATATATATATATATATTAGGCTAAAAGCATAACCTTTTATTGAGTTGTGTACTTCGGTTCTGCATCATCCTTGTCGACCACTTGAAACTTTAGTTAGATAAGGCATTCCCATTGTTCAGTTTCTCTGCCTATATACACACACACACTTCAACTGTCTAGACAATGAACTGTTAGCAAAACACAAATCAGCTGTTACCACACAATCAAAATATCACAATGGAGAATGTAGAGAGTTCTAAGCAATCGATTCAAATCGTAACTGAGAACCCGATGGAAAGCTGCAGAGAGAAAACTAACCTCGCTTCGGGCAAACCTGTCATGATGTATTCCATCTTGACTAATCTTCACGCGGGCTATTTTAGAATAAGCCTCTCTCTCGCCAGCCAAGCTTTGCTCTGGAAAATAATGGCTGCATCTTGGTCACACCATGACAGCCTCCCATCCATTGTGTTCCATTTCCTTTGGTGTCTAGCACTTGGAACTCAAGCATCTCTCTGTCTTTTGTATGTCCTCAAGTGTATTTTCTACTTCAAGATGGTGAAGGATGAGTTCTTGCACCATATAGGAGTGAACTACCTTTACACTCCATCGATTTAAAGGAATCGCTACACAGAAACCAAACTCTTTCGAATTTCTGGGAAATGCTCCAATGTCAACCGGACTGTGTCAACACAAAAGCAGTTCCGCGAGATATTGAGATTGCAAACGCGAAGATTCAATAGATCATAGAAATCACACAAAACCAGATCATGAAACCGAACGAAAAATCAAGAAATTCCTAACTCCAGAATCTAATAATCGGCCAAAACACCATTGGACTTACCAGGAAGAACAGATGCGCACAAACTCAGCTGTGGTATGGAAGAAATGCCATTATGCCACTACAGGAGAATAAATGATTTGCTTCATAGGAGTATCTAGGTCTCCGCCGACAACATCTTTTATTCCGTAACGGTCTGTGATATTACTATTCTTCTGGGCATTTGTTGTTCCTGTCTTAACCCTCGACATTAAAATCTATGGTCAGTGGTTCACAACAGAGAAAAGGTTTTTGTCAGTAATGGCAAACCCTGCAAGCCATGTTTCGGCCATAGCAAACCTGGTGGCTGCACGGGCAGCAGCACAAATGGGTTGGAGGGAAACTGCTGTATGCTTGTTCTCGCTCGGGATGGTTCACTATCTGGTTATCTTTGTCACCCTTTATCAGCGCCTACCGGGAGGCAACAATATCCCCGCAACGCTGAGACCTATTTTCTTCTTGTTCTTTGCTGCACCAGCCATGGCCAGTCTAGCCTGGAACTCGATTTCTGGAGCTTTTGATACCCCGGCAAAGATGCTCTTCTTCCTCTCACTGTTTATCTTCATGTCCCTGGTAAGTTTGCAAAACACTGCACAGAAAAATGCTAATCATGGAGTCATTTAAAGAAATCATCAAATGAGAACCATAGAATGAAATAGTCACACCTTTCTTTCGCCAAAATTCCAGGTCTGTAGGCCGATCCTTTTCAAGAAGTCCATGAAAAGATTCAACGTGGCATGGTGGGCTTACTCGTTCCCGCTCACCTTCCTTTCTTTAGCCTCTGCTCAGTATGCACAAGAGGTGAAAGGTCAAATCCCTTCCCGCTTAAGGCTTTTCTTGTCATCTGTCTCGGTCTTGGTCTTCCTCAGTTTGATGTTACTGACAGCTGCCAACATTAACAAACTATCCAGAAGTGATCCTCTCCTGACTTCTGCCACTGGTTCAAGAAAATAAGCAATATGAACAATGGAGATGTGTAATTAGAGATAATCCCCCCTCTTGGGGAAGACTCTGCATAGAAGGAAATAAGAGTTAACCGTAACAATTCTCTATTGCAAAATATAAACTCAACCAAATTACACGCGTTGCAATTTGCTGGGTAGAAGAATTGATCGTTTGTACTTAGCTGAAGACTCAAACAAGAAGTAAACCTATCTTTGTTCTATTGTATTTCGATCTTCCCCCTCAACCACCTCCCACATTAACAAAACCCAGTCATTGAAACCAAAAGCTCCAAGTAACAAACTCAAAACAAAGCTACCCAGAAAGGCAAATCTTGAAAGGTTGAAAATAGCCTCAGGTATTCTTCTTGATGCTCGTGCGTGATAATTTATGATCCAACAAGTGCAGTTGGTTCCGTAGGTCCTGGTTTTCCTCCAGCAAGCGGTTAAACTCGAGAAGGAACCCTTCAGATTGTTTTCGTAGAGCAACTGCATTGGATTCTTCGCTACGAGCTTCTTTAGCCTTCGCATCAAGTTCAGACTCTAACTGGTTTTTAATTTCCTGTAGAGACCTTATCTGTTCCTCCATGCTTTTAAGTTCATCTGAAGCGACGGCCTTTCCATCTTCGAAACCTAGTCCCTGCTTCTTTATAGCTTCCATGCTCTTCCTTCTTATCCGCAATTCTCTCATGTAATGATGCAGTCTGTCTATCATTAGCCCGAGGAAAAGAAATCCACCTGCAAGAAACAAAACCAAGATTTGTACAGCAATAACGGCCGAAGACAGATAAACAAAACAGAAATTGACAAAGCCGGTTTCTGAGTTATAAACCTTGTTGGTCTAAATGGATAAAAAAAGGTGTATGAAACTGTAGAACCCTGATTCGACACACCTCTCACCAAAGCCAATTTTGTTCATGCTTGGTCAAATCAGAGTAACAAAACAGTAACAATTCAACATCCGAATCCAGATGCAACAGCTAAACCATCACACAAGCATTCCGAAGAAGATCATGAAACACTAACACGAACTGTACTACTGTACTTACACCCAACACCCACTTGTTTATACAAGATGTGGATCTCAAATTCTCCACCGGCATCAGTATACTTTGTTCAGAACACTGAATCAACATAGAAAAGGTTGGATCCGAGCTTACCCATAAGAGTAGATTCCAAGAGATTTCTCGTCATTAGAACCTCATCTGTCGGATTCACCGTCCCCTCGTCGATCCAACGCTTCTGGATCTTCATCACACTGTACACGCTCGACGCCATGACCACACAAACCGTCGCCACCACCGTTTTGACGACGACCGGTCCACGCCCACGCTTCGCCCGATCAAGGCTCATGATCAACAGCTTCCTTATCGGCGTCTTGAAGGAAAGCGCCATAATTACCGCAACCTCCAACAACACAATCGCGAACAGCAATTGCTGCATCCTGTTCGATCCAGACACTCGTCAATGATACGAGGATGTGGTCTAGGGTTTTCGAATTCGTGAATCAGAGGACCAAATGCGACAGCGATCGGTGACTTTTCCGCTGGAGAAGAGGAAGAAGAAAAGTTGAAACGAGGAAAATGTATTTTGCCATTTCTATTTTGTACCAGGTTTAACTTTTAGCCTTTTTTTTTAATCACAACAGTCCTTATAATTTAAATATATTTATAAAATAGCCCCTATATATTTGCATAAACTTCAATGGTCCTCCGAACTTTTATTTCGCGACCCAAACCCAGAAGTGTTCACAAGCTCTTTGGAGGGTTCGTGCCGAGGAAGATGGCGAGGTGGTCGATTCTTCGGAGAATATCCGCCTATGGCGGTTCCTTCACTTACTCTTCTTCGGTAACACCCAAAAGCTCGAACCTTTTCGTTCGATTTGATTTTCTCCTCCTCTCTCGAGCGTTTCTGCTCATCGGGTTTCTCTATTCCTGTTTGATCCGAAACGGGTTTTGATTATAGCAGATTCCATGCTCTTTCACAATCCGATTGGGTAAAATTATACAGAATAGTCTCCAGTTTTGTATTTGATCTGAAAAATTGCGACAAGTTTTGAGCTTTCGATAAGTCCTTTAACAGATGATACTCTGGTGTCATTGTACTTACAGATTCATAGCTTTGTGTAATATAGTCTCTTATGAATGCGGTTTCTTCATATGCAATGGATTCTTGCTGTTCTTATACGTAACATTAGAATTGATAAGATACACATTCATGTGTATTGTCATTGCAGAAACATATGGTGTTCCCTCCGATTGATTTAACCCGGAGCTTGTCATTCTCTTTGATACACACTTCGGCAGATGATGAGCTGTTATTGCAGAGAATACTTACCCATCACGGTACTGCTTCGAAGTTCATCGGCAAAAACGATATCACGGGTCTCGTGGAGAAGTATTTGAGATCTGGAAACATCTCTGATGCGCATAGCTTGTTGCAATCCTTGCCAGATCGAAAATTTTTCTTGCCCGATGCCCAGGAACGGGTTCTAAGGGCAGCAGCTGAAAAGGGCGACTTTGAGATTTCTTGCAGGGTTTTCAGACAACTGTTGTCGGGCGGTGAGCCCTTGAGTTCAGAATGTTATCTCAACCTTGCGAGGGCTTTCATGGAGACAGATGATTGCACTCATTTGTTTCGTCTTCTCAAAGAAGTAGCAGAGTCTTCTACCCGGACGAATGGCTTAACGGTAATAAACCGAACCCTCCTTGCATTTGCTGAATCTAGACAGATAGATAAAGTGCTTCTGATGCTCGATCAAATGAAAGGTTGGGAATGCAAGCCGGATTTGATTACGTGCAATACCGTCTTAGATATCTTGGGTCGTGCTGGTAATTTGAACGAGATGCTCAGATTGTTCTCGTCGATGAAAGAAGATGGTTTGGTCCCGGATATCATTACGTACAATACGCTATTCAACGGGTTCAAGAAAGCCGGAAGGTTAGACTTATGCACGATATATTACGAGGAGATGCATCGGAGTGGAATCCAACCCGATTTGCTTACTTATACAGCAGTGATCGATAGCTTTGGTAGGTCAGGGAATATCGAAGATTCGTTAAGACTCTTTGATGAGATGAAACAGAGAAAGATTAGTCCCTCCCTTTATATCTACCGAGCACTGATAGATAGTCTGAAGAAGTCGGGAAATCTGCTGAAGGCAATGCAACTTTCAGACGAGATGAATTCCTCTTCCCCTGCGGATTTAGCACGTCCCGAAGATTTCAAAAGAACCCGAAAAACTTGCAGACGATAAAAATCTTTGATTGGGGGATCCAATTGGAATCTGATGTTTCAATACCATACACTGCAGCTGCAATGGCTGCCAAAGATATTGTATAAAGCCTGGTTTTTTTCTTTCATTTCCATCGATGAGTTTCCCTGGTTTTAACCAACGATATTGTATAAAGTGTCGCCTTTTAACTGAAGTAACTGTAATTTGCTCGGTTTTAATATCAGGTTCATATGGTTTTATTGGTTTATCAGAATGGAATTGTTGCATACACAAGTGCAGTCTTGTAAGAATGGCACTAAATTGCTCTGTTATTCGAATTCGGGTGCCATAAAGATCGTAGAATAACACAACGATCATGAAATTTCAAATCGTTTAGAAGAAACATAGAGAAACATCAGTCATTTTCAGACAACGAAAAACAGAGACTGGTCTGAATTGGAGGCAAGAACACAAGAAGAAGAAGAAAACTACGAGGGCTTGTAGTATTTCGTCGGAACGAAAGGCATCTTGGTGATGTTCCCTTCATACGGTTTTCCTCGGACCAAGATCTTAACTTTGGTCCCATTCTTGTGCAAACCCGATTTCACATATCCCATTGCAATGTTCTTCTTCAAGTTGGGGCTAAACCCTCCACTTGTGATCTCCCCAATCTTGTTCCCGTTCTCGTCCTGAACCTCACTGTGAGATCTCGCAGGCGGTCCTGAGGAGAAGAACCCGACCCGTCTAATGGAGGGACCGTCTTGGAGCTGTTTAAGGATTATGTCCGACCCAAGGAACCCGCCTTCTGCTCTTCTTCGTTTGCCTATTGCCCAGTTCAGACCCGCTTCCACCGCGGTTATGTGTTGTTCCATGTCATTTCCGTACAGACATAGCCCGGCTTCTAGGCGGAGACTGTCACGGGCACCTAGACCCGTCAGCCTGACTTTTCCCTCGGATTTCTCTAAGATTGCTTTGGCTAGATCCACTGCATGCTCGGACGGGACAGAGATCTCAAACCCGTCTTCTCCAGTGTACCTGAAAGTTAAAAAAAATATCATCAACATTGAAACAAAAAACCGAGTCATGTGGTTCAATGGGCTCAAACTCTGCCTCTAGAGGTGTTTCTGCTTCGACCCCAATACCGATTTAAAAAATAGGTTTACGTGCGGGAAAAAACCCTAATTCCGCGATTTTTTTACATGGTCTATGGAACCATATTAACCGAGTTGGGAGGAATCCTACCCGGTTCTGGTGAGAAAGCACAAGGCGCCATTGATGTTCATAATCTTGAATTGCCCAAAGTACAGCTTGCTCAAATCTTCTTCCGTCAGGTGTTGAAGCACCGGAGCAGCCAGAGGACCCTGCAATTTTGCGAGGTTTATTTTTTACTCCAAATCCGGGATCGCCATTTTATGTCGTTTACCATCATGATCCAGCAATAACAAAGAAGGATAATCTCGTTTTCGCAATGGCAAAGGCTTAAAGATTGCAACTTTAGAGACACATTGAAACCTGTTCCATCTGTTCTTGATATAGAAGATCTGAAACAGAACAAGAAGGAACTATAAAGAACGAACCTGAAGGGCGAGAAGAGATCTCTCGTCATGGATATGCCAAGAGACATCGCCACCTTTCGACTTGAAAGCTTTCATATGCTCCTCGATATGAGCCAAGTCCTTGTCCCTACAACCAGCATTCACCACCAAATAGATATGATCATCCGTCACCTTGGTGATCACAGAGTCATCAATGGTGCCGCCCTTCTCATTCGTAAACACGGTCAGGCTCCCTGTCCCTGGGGCAAGACCAGCCACATCAGCAACCACTAGGGTTTCGAGGAAAGGAATGCAGTCTTTGCCCTTAAGGCTCAAACCACACATGTGAGAGACATCGAACAAGCTCCCGTTCTGCCTGCAGTTTACGGTTGAATCCATGATGGAGTCTTTGTACTGAATGGGCATGCTCCATCCTGCAAATGGAACCATCTTTCCGCCATTGGAGACATGAAAGTCGTACAGGACAGTCTTTTTCAGGTCAGCTTCAGAGGCAAAGTACCGACGGGACACAACCTTCTTATCGGACTGAGCAAGACGACGGGTTATGGATTGCCCCAGCTGCCACAGATTGCCTCCTCTCATCTTCTCAAGCTAAAATCTGATCCAAGAAGATTAAAAACTATAAACAAAGACAGTATAAAAAAAGAGAGAGAACTTTAAGAAAATACACTCGAGCCATTGTTGCATCTTCACTATGCACTCATCAGAACACGAGTTGTTCTTTCCGGATTTGATTCCAGTAAAACTGAGCTTATCAATCTCCGAATGAATCTCATAGATGAAGAAAAACAATCAAAAGGATTTGAATCGGTGGTTGAATACCAACCATCTCAATGACATAAAAGTTTTGGACAAGGGAGCAAAATCAGAATGAACACGACACAATCTATGAACCAGATGAGATCCAGAAAGACATAAAGTTTGTGCATTTGTTCGCAGTAAGATTCATTTTTATAAAACACCCATTTCCAGTTTTGATATCTAACAAGAAATCTGGGCATTCAACAATCATAACGAAATCAAAGTCTCCATTTTTACGAACCCTTGATAGAAACAACCCCAACGAGTAATATAAATCTTACAGATTACGGGTTTTCTTCAAAACTCCTCTTCAAGATTTCTGGTATTCCGTGGTATTATTACACGGATGAACCGCATAAAATACCAGTATGAAAGAGAAAGAACGGCGAAAAAATGGGGGCTTTATATATTTCTAGGGTTCAAAGTATATAAATTTATTAAAAAAAATGGGAATTAAAATAAGAGGAAAATCCGATTTGGTAGTGGGTTTGAGAGGTGGGTGGAGGAGGCATCATCAGCCAGATGAAGAAAAGGCCAAAGCAACCACATCGCCATTGAGTGGTAAGTATTCTCTCTATCTTCTTCTTCCTTTTTAATCGTAAAAAAAGGGGGAAATATTTCTTATTGCCTTTATGTTTAATTTCCTATTTTGATGTTGAATTCTATAGTGTAGTAATTGTAATTTTTTCCTTTTTAACTTTTTACAGTGAAATCGAATATTATGTACCAAAAATCAGGACCTCTCTGCTCACCATTAAATTCTGAAAATTATAGGGAAAAAAAGGAAATTATTCAAAATGGAGCATAAGAATTGGAGAAACAGAGGAAACCGCTTCCTGATTCCGAGGGTCTTCCACTGGGGCAACTCAAACCAGTCCGGTCCGATCCGAGCTCGCACTCGTCCAAAGTTTTTGGATTCTGACTCGCGTGACCCGATTTTTTTCGGATATATATAACCAAACTCGAGACCTAAATTGATACCTGCAAAGTCACGAGACTCTCCCCACCAAATCATAAAATATTAGAAACAGATGTAAAGTAAGCATATAAATGGCTGGCATATATGTGTATATAGTCTTTGTAGTATATAACATGAGATGGACGATAAGTGAATAATTTCTAGCAGCTAATAATCATTTTGCTTATATAAAAGATCATATTACAGACAACACTCACAACCTCTTATTCCATTTAATTAAGAGAGAGAAACCCGACATAAGATTTAATTAAGAGAGAGAAACCCGACAAGAACACGACAGACACCTAGCAGCTAATAATCATTTTGCTAACGTTCATAAGATTTATATGTTCCGACAAAGCAGCCATCGTACCAGATCGGTTCTTCACTCAAGTTCCTTGAGAAAATCTTCGTTGTCCACCAGAACCTACCATTTAACGAGCAGATGATCCATCAAAACCCAAGAAACGAAACAACGATGTTCCACTACAAGAAAAACTGGTAATTGCGACCGAAAAATCTGTCGCAACATGAAGAAGAATCTGTCGGTAAAAAATATTTGCGACCGATTACGACCGACGGCTGTCGGTCGCTAAATCGTTGTCGCAAAATCTGTGTGGTCGTTATTCTGTCGCAACCTTGCGACCGACACATCTGTAGCTTATCGGTCGCTAATATACGACAGATGGTTAAGGTCGGTACTCTGTCGCAAATTGGTGAATTGATTTCTGTCGCACATTGCGACAGAAATAGGAGTAGGTACGCCGTCGCTACGTAACGACAAATAGCATCAGTCGCACTCTGTCGCAAATGGAACGACCAAATATAATCAGTCGCATTCTGTCGCAAATGTAACGACCAAATATAGCGGTAGGTATTCGGTCGCAATTGTCCGACTAATGTAAATGGTCGCATTCTGTCGCAAATGTAAAATTTGTAAAACAAATATTAAAAAATAATAATTATTTAAATTCAAATAAAAATTTAAAAATAAATATAAAAATATAAAATTAAAATTATTTATTTAAAATTAAAAAGTATTTATTAAATAAAAAGTATTTATTAAATAAAAACAAATTAAACACTAAACAAAAAAATTATCCGGATTGTCTGATCCGGTTGTTTGGTCCGCGGGTGTTGTAGAAGGTCCGACTCCGGGCTGAGGAGTCAAAAATGGGTTGAACGGCATATCTTGCGCCGTTGGTGGGTCGTCTCGAGGAGGAAATAGCCGGGCGAAAAGCGTCTCGTAACGCGCAATCCGTGCCTCAGCTTCTTCAAGTCTAGCAATCTTCCTGCGATCCTCCTCGAACTCTTGAATCTTTTTCTTCAACAGCTCGACCTCCCTAGTGAGTGAGACGTGGTGACCGATGGATGTTGCATCCGGATAACCACCACCCAACTGAGTCGCCATTGCACCGACGCCGTATATACGTCCTTTGGCATCGGGTTGGACAACCTACAAAATCAAAAATATACGTCAATTAAA